CACAAAGCCAAAGCCTTAATTCTTACAGTACCCCTTCCCAAAGCCCGCAGTAATGAGCTGAATGGCATGCATTGTGTAATAGCTGTTACATTTTAGAGTAACAAAATGCGTGTCTATTTACAGTCATTATTTACATGTGTGGTTGCTCTGACATCTTGAGCTCCCTTCTATTTTTGGGCTGCGTGTCATCTGCTATTGCTCCTATCAGAAGCTAAACAGTGCGCCTGTTTAGAAGCTAAATGAGAATATGATTTGCTGTCTGTGTGCTGATAACTGCCTGCTTTTTTCCCTCATCTTTTACTTTTTAGCTTTCAAAAATGTAGGAACTGTATTTGATAGTGCACAAATGTTTAGACAGCGTACAATGTGTATTTATGTGTAAACTGTATAATAGACATGTTTATGACTCTTAATTAATGAGATGCTAACAAAATAAATGATGAGCCTGCAGGAACACTGATAAAGGTCTAAGCTATTTTTTTAACTACCTGGATGTTAACTAACGGTGGTCCATGAGGACCACAGGTGTATGGAAATCGGGAGGACATTATGAGGGTTAATGAAATGAGACCAAAAGGAGCAGCAAACTGAGGTTAAACATTTATCTCCATAAAACAAACAGTCCAAAGACCACTGAATGACATCACAGTGGCTTCATCCATCTTTTACATACTAAACAATCGTCCCGATTTCCATACACCTGTGGTCCACAGGGACAAAATGTCCCAAGGACAACACAAAGGTTAAAATGTTGAAAACATTCAGTTGTTGAACATCTATGGAGTTTGTTTTTGTTTTTCTGTACTTTCTGTACATATCTTATTTGAATAAAAATGAATGAGAATGTAAATAAAGACCCATAAAAACACATTACATCCATCTTTATCTGGCCATTTATTGCATCTCATCAGGCGTCACAGCAATTCTATGTCATCCCAGCCTCCTGCTCTTTAAACAGCTCACCCAGGGGTTTCTCTCCTTCTCTTCACATGGAAATAATAATCATCATCCCCTCCAAATATTAACACTGATTCACAGACCGTACAACACACTGGATACTTAAGTTAGTTTATAATACATAGCTGGAATTGGTGGTGCATTGCTTGTCATGATAATTTTAGTTTTTAACTAATGGAAGTTGTTTTTTTGTACAGTTAATTCACAGAGAACAGTTGGCAGGAAACAATGGCTGAAGGCAATGTTACATATAAATGGAAAATACCATCGCCACAGACCGTGGCCCACGGTCTAACGCAACACCCGTTCACACAGACACGCACACACGCACGGGACATGGGTTATAAACACAAGGGCACAGGCATACGTGCATCTACACACATAAGCATTAAGACCGTGGCATTATCAGCAGCAGATATGAGGTCTTTAATTTTAAAACAACTCATCAGACTCTTTTAAGTTTATGCTCATTGAAGATGGCATGACGGCTTGGGTTGAGTGAGGCTTTTAAAACGTGGACAGGAAGGCGTGGAAAGGGAAGATATTGCAAACTACAAACTACATCACACAGACAAAGCAATACAGGACAGAACAGCACAAACGCAGGAGTGGGACAGAAAGAGAGGGGCAAGCCAGCGAGGTAGAGTCAGAAAACAGAGCAGAGGGTATATCAGCATGTGATGAATACATGGTTGTTTTTCTCCAATCTAATCTTTGGTCCATTGTCCAGGTCTTTCTTACAGTTTTAAAGTGGAAGGGTGTGTAATTAATCTGTAAGTTTGTTCGCGTATGTACGTGTCTGCTGCTGTCAAAGATGACCCTTTTGTTCTGTGGAGCTCAACTCATCAGATGACACTCTCAAAGAGCAGCGTCCCCTTGGTTCCTGCAGGGGGCAGCAGTTTGGCCTCACTCTCAGGGGCCAGGTACTCCAAGTGATGTCTGCCCCAAACTGGTGTGGTTAGGTGCTGCCAGCGCTACAGAGTAAAAACACAATGAGATGGGTTTTTTGGGACGGGACGGACAATTTAGTTTTCTGCAATAAGTCCTCTTTAATGATTAATGAGGAAATCAGTTGAACAAATAACTCATAGATGAGTGATGGCAACATCCAAGGAGACGCATTCCTACTGATCAAAAGTAAACAGAAACAGGAGAATGCAAGTGAACAGACATGCCAGCACCCATGAACACTGACCTCCCGCAAAGATCCTTTGCAGCGCAGTAGTTTGTAGAGAACAGTGACAGGGATACAGAGCATGGAGGATAGGGCCAGCGCCCAGCCAAGTGCTTCACCCCAGATGGGGTATGTGTACACTGTGTTGTAGGTCAGGGGCTTGTAGTTAACCACATGGAACAGGAACACTCCCTATATGAATGCCAAGATATTACTAGTTTTCCACTTGCAGATACAGTTTACTTAAAAAAAAATGAAGTAGCACGTACCACACAGACAAAAGGTGTGATGTAGGACCAACACCACTTCATATAGGGTAGGGGCTGATAGCCGATCATACGAGCCACATCGTCCATGAAACGGTCTGCGCCTGACAGGGTAATGTAAGGATGTTGTGAGAATGCCCTGGACAGTGCAGTTTGTATAATTTGTGCTGTGTTTGTGCAGCGCTGTCTCACCATACACCCATGCAACCACCACACACTCCCAGAAGGCCTGCCACAACAATGTGATGCCACTGGCAGAGTAGTAGTCAAACAGCTGGAAGACATACATCCCTCCCTGATAGAAACGGTGAGAGCAGAAGACCATCAGAACCATCCTTTTAATAATTCATAACCCATTTCAGACATGCAGTTCCTTCCGTTAATCTTTCCACAAATCTAAAGTGAAAGCTACGTCTGAATGCCAGAATGCATTCACTCTAACAAATTTAGGAGCACAGCAGTGGTACAAGGCTAAAAGGGCCAATATGTGAGCAGTTGGTTTCTAAGAGTGGTTTACAGTTCCAATTACAAGTTCCAACAAGCACATTTTATTATTAGTAAAAGGAGGTTATGATGCAAATGTTGAGAAGCTCCATAAAGGACACTTATCTTTACTACAAGACTGGTAAGAAATTAAATCTACCTAATTAGAATAATTAGTAATCTACAAATAGCTAACTAGAAAAATACCTAATTCTGAAGAATACAACTAAATGACATTTAGTCAAAAATTTGACTTTACCTCAGTAACCATGGACATGTCAATGAGGAAGCAGATGATGCAGCAGATGGCAGCTACTACCTCTCGCCGAAGCGAGCCCAGGGCAGATTTTGGGGGCAGCATGTCCATGATTCCCGTTATCAAACCCTCAACCCCGACAAACTGGAAATGAAAAAGAGGGAACGTAGAGGAACAAAAGTGAATGAGAATTCTTCGACTCTGTGTGTGTTAGTATTTTTGTCTGATATCACAGACACATTAAATATCACACAAAAATATCCATAAAGGTGCAGAAATGAGCTAGTTCTTGTTTCCAGTACAGAGGTGGACGCTGTGTCATCCCACCAACTACTCTATAAACTCCTCTTTCAGACAATCGTTGTACATCAGATGCAGTGAAGTGACACTTAAAAGTTTGCAAGTGAGCATTTTATCATGAGCCGTCTCCCTGTTAAAGAATGCTTATGCGTATCTCTTCGAAACATATTACAGCAACCATAAAGAGTGGAGCAGATAACAGCTGCGAAGCTATTTTTACATTATTTAACAGAGATGGCAGGATATTCATAGGCTATGCCAGTTAAAAAAAAAAGAAGGGAAAGAAAAGGGAGAGAATTGAAAATGAGAGTAAATGAATGGAGAGCAGACAGACGCTCTCTGTGTGAATCACACAGAAGCTCATTGACAAATCCCTGGGCTGTAAAACAATGGATGTAGGCAGTGGCTCAAACAGACACACAACAAACAGGCAGCTGAGAAATGCAATCCTAAAACTGGTATTTCAGGCTGTTTCTGTCTCTCTTTGGTGAATGAAAGAATGATAGAAAAAGAGAAGGAATTAGATTGACACCAAAAAATAAAAGCACGTAAGATTCAAGTAAAATTAGTATATATCTTGTGTAAGATGAGTTCTTTCTCCAAAATTATGATATAAAGGAAAGTCAGTCATTAGTACCTGACTGTCCAGCCCCAGTATGAGTAACATGAAGAAGAAAAGTGCTGCCCAGAGCGGTGCCAGAGGCATCAGAGTCACAGCCTTGGGATAGGCTATAAAGGCCAGGCCTGGACCTGCACATTAAGAAACAGAGCCATCACTGTGGACATGTGGCTCTCACTGGTGATGCTTATTACTTAATACAAATTGCACAGCGTTTCAGGGGGGAAGGTGTATTCATACCACTCTCGGCTACTTTACTGATGTCCACTCCTTGTTCTGTAGCCATGAAACCCAGCACAGAGAATACCACAAAGCCGGCAAAGAAACTGGTTCCACTGTTGATGAGAGCGAGCACAAATGCATCCCTACACAGAAATACAGAGAAGAAGAAAAAAAACAAGGCAACTATCACATAAAATAAATGAAATGAGATAGAAGGATGCATTATATTGTGCTGTAACATAAGGCCTGTGTCAGAGACTCAAGACACTGGCATAGAGAGTAGAGATGGGCCGGGAAGCTAAACTGGGGATCAATAGCAATTTCTCTAAAAGCAGATGTTGTCTTTGCAGTTGTCAGGTGGAGAATAGAGAGCAAAGAAGCCTGTCTCAAGGTCACGGATGATACAGAATGAAAGGAAAATATCCGATATCTATGATGCAGTGATGTTAGGAGATTCGAATGAGTATTACGTCAACAACGTCTGTGTTATCTGCCTACACGGTGAGCAGGATTCCTTTGTTTATTCTGACAAGTCTAACCAAGAATGCTGACTGATATGAAGAATGTACAAACAGCAGTTGCATTGTGATGATTATTATAACACTGTTACACAAATGCTTTCAACAGCAATTCAGTCCATTCAGTCAGCACTATCTGTACGAATCTGAGGCAGCGCACAAAAGCATGTGTGTGGATGTAAACAATCAAAACAAGTCAGAATGACAGTTTGTTTTAAGAAAGCAGTCCGTAATAAGACCCTACCTGTTCAAACAACTTAAAGTTATAATAATAATGTACACTTTTATTGATCCCCGTGGGGAAATTCTTCTCTGCATTTAACCCATTCACTCAGTGGGCAGCCACCAGTGCAGCGCCCGGGGAGCAGCATGTGGGCATGGTGCCTTGCTCAAGGGTACCTCAGGGTAGCCGTTCAGGGGATTCGAACCCCTGGCCTTCCGATCACGGGGCAACCGCTTTACCTACTGAGCTATCCCTGCCCGCTCTTTATGGAGCCGCTCTTTGAGGCTGTAACTGTCATCACACACCAGGAAACATGGCTGTTAAATGCTGAATTTAAAAAGTTATACTCAACATAACAGAGCTGCTACCATCTATCTAAAACCACGCCTAACTTTACTTTTGTTTTTTAGCTTACTATTTATGTGTAAACACTGTGTAAGTATATTCAGAGGATCCAATCACTCACTCTAATAAACTACTTATTTTTTATAAAATACTAGAACTGTTCATCTTTTGGTTATTAAAAAGTGATGTTAACTTTATCTACAATAAATGTCTACAACTTTATTTACATTTCCTAATATTCCACAACTTACAGATGGACTTTCAAAAAAACTGTATTTTGTCTGTCATTTATATCTGTTATTTCTTTATTTTATATGAATTTTTCCCTTGAAGACTTCACTCTGTGTCCGTTTTTGAAATTCCTGTGTTGGCTAGCGAGGCAAAAAAAAATACATACCTGTATCTATACCTGTAGCACGCTTGTAAATGATTAAACTTTTGAAAAAAGCTCAATAAGTGGTTTATCAAGCTCAATCCAGAACAGGTTATCGCCACAGGCTAAAAATAAAATAATTGCCAGCATCACTACAGGGGCAAATTTCACTGGCCGGTTCTCACCCCCTTGCATGTGAGAGGTTTTTGCCCTCATAGCCAAAAGGTTGGTTGGACCAGGACTTTGGTGCAAAACAGTGTGCTGTTTCTTTGCAACTTAGGCACCAGAAACTGCTCGATAAAACTGCATTTTCCTGTCATAGCTTGAAGAGATATGTCAAATGATCATAAATATTAAATGATATATATGGAAATATCCAGTTATTCTTGCTTGCATCACTACTTGGCTGTTTTTGTGCACAGCTAGCATTCTTAGGCTGTGTTTATATGAATCAGCAGAGGAATTATTGCATTATGGCCAGGAATATGTTTTGCGAGGTCACAAGGACTGTGACCTTTGACTGCTATATTCTAAACAATTCACACCTGAGTCAGTAAAAGATTCTCTTATGGCAGTGTGTGCACTTTGGGGCATATAAGTGGTGAACCAACAGGTGGAGATGCTGATAGTTTGATCCCTAAACAGATCATTAATCAAGCTATGTTTGCTTTACTTTCAAAGCAAGAAATCTGTAACCCAGATGCAAAATATACTACATGCTGAACTCTAAGAATAGCTTATAGAAATCTTGCCATCTATTTCTGGGCCTACTTTAATGTGTGTAAGAAACAGGGCTGAAAAGCTCTCATGTGAACTCATTTTTCAACTTGTGGTCAAGAGAGGAAAAAAATGTGGCCCATGCCGTTAAGTGCCCTCTAAATAAGTACGTGCTTGAGATTTACAAAAATAAAATCCTTGTTACTACTGTGTAGCCAAATACCTCAAAAGGCTCTTAATAGGTTTACGTATCTGTCTCTTCTGGCTAAACATATGCAAGCTTACAAACCAATGAAAACTTTCATTGAAGCCATGTGAGAGTTTTCATTGAGTGCATACTTGATATTCTACATTTGTTGGAAATGCATAAAGGGGTGTTTGCTTGAAGATAAAATAGATCTCTTATATATTTACGACTATTTATGACTGTGAATCTTCGATCAGACTTCTAATGCACAGTGTTTTAGTCTAATAGTCATAGTAGTGTTCAGAGAAAAGATCAGATCTTACAATAAAGCATTCAAAGTGCAAGTGAGGGAATGTTTCAGATCTTTTTGGGTCTTCATGTGATCATTAGCAAGGTCAGACTGAGGTTGCGCTTCTCCCTGTCATTGGGTGTATAGTGAAAGAAAGCCTATTTGTAGTGGAAATACATTTTTTTGGTTTATTTTAGTACTGAAGTCCACAGTCACATGAAGCAGAATGCAGATTCAGGCTATGACTTTGTGCTGATTTTGGCCCCCTTTCAGTGACAGTAGCGTCTGATTCTATGTTGTGTATAAACTCACTGGTAACAGTTGTTATGGAAGCGATTGTAGCTACCCAGCGCAGTCAGGGCACCTAGTCCGATGGCATAGGAGAAAAAAATCTGAGTGCCGGCATCTATCCACACCTATTATAGAAAAGACACGTGTGAGTAATTTCCCCCCAAATTTGTTTTGACTTACATTTCTTAGATGTCATTTGAACAGTTCTTATCCAAAGCAAAGCTTATGCAAAAGTTAAACCTGTGCTTCTCCCAGTTTGGACCAGTCTGGTTTCAGGTAATAAACAATGCCATCCAATGCTCCAGGCAGAGTGACCCCATGGGCAAGAAGAACAACCAGAACCAGGTAAGGGAAGAGAGCTGTGAAGTACACAACCTGCAGAGAGATAAAAACAAGACCTGTTAAGCACACCTCTAAATACTTTTAGGAACATTTCTGGGACATACTTGGGGTGGGGAGGTCAAGTTTGAAGACTGTGCAGTAACTTGCATTGAGTGAAAGGAGAAAACTAAACAGTTGGGCCCCTCATATTAAATGAACAGGTTAGCTGGAAATGCTTAATGCTTATCAACATGGTTCATCAGCTTATCTAGCTGGGCCTAAGCATGTTTTTATCACTTTGATTAAACAATTACCTGCTTTGCAAATACTCGTGTCATAAGTAGAAGCCCATTAGGTCCTTCCTGTAGTAGATGTGTAATGAGGCCTGTCATATTACTTTGGAGAAAAGGTAGCCTGTAAATGGAAAGCCAGATATTTTGTAAACCTCCTGCAATAGCAGGGGGTTTTGGCAGTCCTTTTCAGAATGCAGTCTTTGTCACATTATACAGAGAAAGTCACAGCTTGCTACCTTGCTACCTTATAGAAAAATCAAGTCCAAGCTTCAGTATGGTGAGAGCAAAGCAGTGAGAAAGCACATATTTGCCTTGATCTAGGGGAGAACATGGACAGAAAAGCCCCTTTCCAGCTTTCAAACATGGTGGAAAGTTACTAATCGGCTTATAGCTGGCTGGCTCAGTGGCTTTCATTATTTTTCCCCTCTTTCTATGAGCTTTGGCTACTCTGGAGACACAAGTATGCAAACACACACATCTCAATATGCTACAGCATAAGGAGATTCAAAAGAATGAGGAATGGGCTTTTTTTTTTACAAAACGGAAGGCTGAGCAGTCTGTATGCGGAGTGTTACATAATAAAGATTTAGGGATTGCAGCCCGAGTGAAAAGATATACAGAATATGACTAACTTTTAAAAGAACAAGAGTATGCATATATTTAGAGTAATTTGTGTTTCAGTCTAGACACTGATCCCCACATTACACTAAAGCTGATTTGGGGTCAAAGGGCAAAAATGCTGCAATTATTTAAATCTTTCCATGAAGCCGTTCAAACATTAGACTGCACTCCATGATCCCTGACAACCTTTTATGTGCAGCATACTAACGGATATAAATATTAATCTGCACTCAGCCCTGTAACATTATGTATTTTGTATTGCACAGGCAGAAAATACTTTACCTTGCCAGTAGATTTAACTCCTTTCCACATACAGAAGTAAACAATGATCCAGGTGGCTATAAGACACAGCACCATCTCATAGCTTATATCACCGGGCTCGTGCAGCCCTCCAGACAGACGAAGCACTTTACGTCTAGAAGAAAGAACAAAAGATGTGAAAAACATTGTTTCCAAACACAACAAAGACATTTAAAGCTATGAGGTAAATAATGTTCAAATATAAAGTGCACAGCTGGATTTCAATTGAAACTATATTTCCTTATACATCCTGCAAATGGCATATAAATGCCAGCAAAACTTAAAATAAGATGCATTTTGCAACTGGTAAAAAAAAACCCTGTGTGCACAGCCTTAAAAATGTACTTAAAAACTGCAGAAAGCCTGCTTAATCAAGGGATGACATACTCCCAAAACTCAATGACAGGAGAACGCAGGCCCTCAGCATCCATGCAGCTGCCATTGAGGAGGAGCTGGGCTGAGGAGAGGTTCAGCGGAGATGCGGAGGAGAAGAGGCTGGAGTTGGTGGCGGCAGACGATGGTAGAGCAGGCTGGGCAGTACTGCGGTTGTGGCAGGTGCGTCGAAAGTCCTGTGTACAGTTGGGGGTGTTCCAGGGGTGTCCGCAGGTGGCCCAGGGCAGTGGGTTAGTGAAAGAGTGAAAAAGAAAGTAGAGGCCCCACACCAGGATCATGATATAGTAGGTGTTACAGAAGAACACGATCACCATTGAGGCCAAGCCCAGACCTAATGAAGGAGGAGAGGTGAGCTCTAAATCAAAAAATGGTGGCTAGATTTATAGCTTTTCAGATAAATGTGTTGCACGTACCTTTAAAGAGGGGTGCGATGTTCCAGGCAGAGACCCCTCCCTGCTTCATGAACTGTCCCAGGGCAATCTCCAGGAAGAAAACTGGGATGCCCCCGATGAACACAATCAACAAGTAAGGGATCAGGAAAACCCCTGCAACACACGGCACTCATATTCATCACGGGCAGGTAGAAACAGTGTTCAATACTGTACTATTGTAATATTAATATTGTTTAATAAACACAATGAATGCCTCATGTGCTAAATTAAACAACTATGAGAAACTTTGGAGAAATACATTACTTAATTTTTTCATGTTTAAAAATGTAAATAGACCAAGGACTGACTTTGAAAAAGAAAATTAGCAAAGCCGCACTCCCACAGACGTTATGCTAGGAAGCATATTTAGAGACAATTAAATGCTAATCATTAATATCTTCAAATCTTCAACTAATTATATCATTAACATTAAATTCAACTAATTCATATTATAATTTATTCTAATTTCAACTGCAGAATTAACAAATTCAGGCTCTTTGAATATGTGTGACAATAAAACAGGCAGAAAACGTGACATGAAAGTCATATTTAATGTCTTTAAGAATGTGCACACACACCAACAAGGCTCATCGTAATTAAACGTTCAGCTCAAGAAGAAATGGTTAAAAGGAGGAAGAAGCAACACAGAACACGGGGGGGGGGAGTCAGGGAGGAGGACAGACAAGCCCACAGATAAAAGCTGCGCTGAAAGTCAGTGTGGGAGACAATGTCTCCCGCGTGCAGAGGCAACTGCACTAGTTTGTCCTTGAACTCAAAAACTGCAAGGTGAGGAGACAGAAAAATGGGAATGTGAGACGACAGTGGACTCAGATGGGAATTATTAGTCCTGATAGAGACATCTAGGACTTGTTTTGTTTTGATCGGCAGCAGCTGGCTCAGAGCAAGTGTTTTCTATAAATAACTTCATTTTGAATTCTCACACTGTAGCCTACTCTGATGAGGAAGAAGAAAACATAGCAAAAAGGTGCAAAAAAGGCAGCACAAGGAATTTACTTCCCTGTATCTACCTGCAATGATTTGGGTGGAATAGTAATAAACATAACTCGGTTATGCCACCACAGCGTGCAGATGGGAGTGGAGTCACATGACCAGCTATGACGCAGAGCAGAAAGAGGCCAAGAAGAAAGGAGGGAAAGATGGACAGATTACCGGAGAGGCTGGCAGAAAAATTGGGACATCAACGTGTCAGAGGTTCAACAAATAACAAAAATGACACACAAAGGCATTGACCTGGTTCGCTGTGCAAATGCTTTACAATTTCTCTCTCATCCGCTTCATTTTTCTTTATGTGATTCTCTGAGAGGAGAGGGCTGTAGCCATATAAGGAAACATTCGTGAGCGAGAGTCTAAGAGAGAAAGGGGTGGGAGACTGAGAGAGATGCAGAAAGAGGAAAAGAGAGAGAAGGGGAGAAAGATGCGATAGGACGACTGAATGGAATGAGTGGAGAAAATTCTTGTGCTGACATACCCAAACAAATTGGCCAAATCATCACGCAACTGCATCCTTAATAGGCTTAAGTAAATCCTCTCTAATCATAGCTAAACCGGACACATCAGGCCTAACAGCTGGGTTACAAATAAATCGATGAGATTGTCTGGGCAATAATTTTGTGCTTTCACAGTGTATTCACCTGTTATTGTCTCCAGAGGAGCGTGTCCTTGTTTCACCAACAAGCAGTGCTCACTTAAAGCCTCAGCTCTTATCGGATACTTTTTGTTGAGTTACAAGGTGTACCCTGGGTTGGTCAAAGGTGGAAAGTGAAGTACTGTAGCGGATGTTACTGCGCTGACGCGGAGGGAAAGGACGGGGCGCAGTCACAGGACGGTTATTGTGTGACATATCCATATGCCTCCTTATCAGCAGGCGGGTGGGAAAGAGCACCTTTGTTTGTCTCATGAGCGCTGGGCAGGAACACAGGGGGGTGGACTGTGTGAGGCAGGCTATTGTTATATGATACCAGAAGGTGGGTATCAGAGCCACTCGTCACAAGACACATAGATGGGAGACAAAAAGGGCTGGACTAAGACACACAGTCTCTCATTTAGTTTTACTTCAACTAAACACCTCATAATAAAATGAAAAGTGGGTAGGGCAGAGATAAGAGAGATAAGGAAGAAGTCTAGGCCAAAAGCTGCAGTCAGGTCAGGTAACGAGGGAACAAAGTTGGCACAGATGAAAGGAGGACTTGGAACAGCTCAAATAACATCATATGCCAACATAAGGAAGAGGAAGATCGTAGTGCAGCTCGGCCTAAGTCTGCCTATGAAGCAACAGGCAGCTATAATAAATATGGCGATATCACATGATGGGGCATGGCTTTTGAGCTACGTGTTCACAGCCACGCAGGCCCTGCTTTGTCTAACTTTATCTCATCGCATTGACTTTCACGGTTGTCCTTCTGCCTATCTGAGTTTATTTTCACTGCTGAATGATCGTTCAGTTAGAGGATCATACTTTAAAGGATTACTGAGAAACTTTGTTTTTTCCCCAGAATCTCTTTTTTAAATAGACGTTTCATTTTGATACCAAGCTAATTGTAACTCGTAATCTTTTTTGCATTAAATAATATTTTATAAATAGATACACAGATGGATAAATACTTTATTCATATCACCATGGAAATTGTTGAATTTCTTGTTGCTGAATATTGTATTCATAGTATTTTAATAATTATAAAGAGGTCAGTAAGGACTTAGTCCCATGGTGGTTTCGTGGCTAAATGGTGGACTTTTTCACCAGCATTGTGACCCTCAGGGCTGATAGCTGAGCCACCTTTTCTTTGCTATACAAGGGCAATTATCATGGTATAATTTTGGTATAATCTTTGCAGATGGCACCAGTAGTGTGAAGTGAAGGAGCTCCTAAATTGGTTATTTTAAATGATGCATCCATGAAGAATGCATTAAAAGAAAATGTATTCAAACTGGACCCTAACTTTCTCTTATGGAAGCTTTTTTCTTAGTGGTAGCTTTTTTTCCTTAGCTTTTAATACCAGACATTTATCCATTTTATGCTATGGCTGGAACCTATCCCACCAGACAACAGTTGGAGGATAAAGGGTGCCAGTCCAACAGAGACATCTACTACCAATTTAGAATCGCTAATTAGCCAAACATGCGTGTCTCTCATCTGTGCTAGGAAGATAATGCATACGGAAAGCCAACCAGCAGGTTTGCACCTGTAACCTTCTTGCCCTCTGCAGCAGTGTTAAACACAGAGCCACCATGCTGCTGCTCAGTCATACACACTTAACGTTTTACTCAGAGTACATTTACACAGTGCTCTGGGAGCTCACCTCCTCCATTTTTGTAGCACAGGTAAGGGAACCGCCACACGTTGCCCAAGCCAACAGCAAAACCCACACAGGACATGATGAAGTCCATTTGTCTGGTCCAGGTTTCTCTCTCCGCTGCTGGTACTGTTACAGACCCATTTCCAGCCGCAGTATCGTCCTGGGTCTGCGTTGGGCCACCCCCTCCGCCGTCATCGCACCCTGAGCCCACCCCAGGCACAGGCACCAGAGGGCGAGCTGATGCGCTGCCCTCCTCCTCAGACAGTATCCCTGCGTCCAGCTGGGGAACACTGATTTCACCTGGACAGAAGAACAGGGTTGATTCAAAAACAAGCACAAAGATATGGAAATGACTAAATGGCATTAATATAACAACAGCATAAAATATTACAACACATCATCTGGCAAGTATACAGTTTCAGATCTTTACATCACACGTCAGCACTGGGGACAGACAAGCTCTGGTCTCTTAGGCCACACTCGTGCTGAATAGAGAGAAAGAGAGGCTGCACGCTTTCCATTCATTAAAATAGTCAATGCAAGCTTGGCCAGTTATTACGTACTTTCCCCCCCAGCGGTAACAGGAGTGTAATACATCTTAATATACACATACATGAGATTTGTTTTTGCAAACTGCCCACATTCAGTTGCAGTTATACTGTCATCACTGCACCCTCCCCCGATGTTCATTCTCTCTGTCTCACAGACAGACTGATTAGCGTGCTGCGGTACAACACGGCATAAAGCCGCCTCAAGGTACAGCTCAAGCTCCCCTGCTACTTACAAAGCTTTTCTTCTTTCTCATGCGCCACTCAAACACAAATGCAACGTGGCTCTTAGTGTCTTTCCACAATATTAGAGTGAGCCGCTCTTTGCTGGATTCAAAGGCAGCTGAATCCAGATCAGAGCAGTTTTGAGGGGGTGTGTGAACAGAGGATGAGAAAAGAGTGGGGAAGGTAAGGGATGTGAGCATATACAGAGCAACCTCTCTTTTAAGGTTGCTCTGTGGTTGAAGAATCATCTGTGTGAGGAACAGCTTCCAGTCAAGAAAAAATCTGCCCTTAAATAAAATGGCCATGCCTCAAGGACATAATGCAGAGACAGCTGAAGTTTTTAAAATGCTTGGCCAAGAAGGCACCTGGCGGGCAACACAGGTATACACTGTCTGTCTTCACCACAGATCGAAGTATTTTGCATCATATCCTTGAGGCACATTAAATTCATAAGCTGAACGCTGAATGACTATACCCTGACATGAGGGTCTTCTGTATTCACCACCAGTGAACATCTCTAAGGCTACACTGGCTTAGAGATGTAGCCTTAGAGACTCAAATACCCTTAAATGACTGGCTTCTGGTCCCATGTTTATTTATATTTCCTCTCTGTACAAGCATGATGCAGTAAAATAATAGATTTGAAGCAGGTTAAGCGCAGCTGGTGTGTGGAAGCTTTTATCGTCATCCAATAATGTTAAAACTGTGGCAGAAGCAGGGATGCTTTAATTCACCTACTTGTGTTTATGTTTTTAGCTAGTGGCTGACTCATATGGTACCCTACCTAAGAAGTCATTTTTAAGCAGTGGAGGTCGTACGTCATACTCACCTTGGCTGTTCTCTTCCAACTCAGGTGACATACTGCTGAGTGGCGGCACAAAAAATGTATATATATATATATATATATAGATAGATATATGTATGTGTGTGTATATATATATATATATATATATATTTATATTTTTTAAAAGCGCAAGCTGGCTGTTTTTATTTAGCCAGAGGCAGCTGAAGTTTTTAAATGCCTGGCCAAAGAAGGCACCCGGCGGGCTCAGAGAGGCAGACAGGGAGATGCAACCACACTGTTCAGTGCTCCAGTTGTCTCTTTTTTTCCTTTTTTTTCCCTTTTTTGATCTTCTGAGTTTGTTATTTCTCCTTCTTGAAAAAAAATCTCAGTTTTTTTTTTCAATTGCTTCACGTTGGAACCCCTCAGCTCAGCCAAGAGATGGAAAATTTCACAAAGCGCCGCGGTCAGTTCAGCCGTTGACAGGAGGAGATTCAAAAGCAGTCCACGAAGCACTTGAAGGTAAGCCTGAAGAATCTCATGGATAAGAGCTAAATGAAAATTATACTGCGCCTTAGGGTAATGATTTTTGTGTTTAAATCGCCCAGTTACAAGTCCATTATCCCGAACGGTATGCCGCAATTCGACGGACGAAGAATGTGACCTGCTCCGCGGTCCGTTAGCTGTGACCGACGCTTCCCCCGCCTCCTCCCGCCGTCAGCTGACGTGATTGGCTGAGGAGAGCCCAGTGCGGTGTGCACAGCATCAGCAGCACAGCATTACTACGGCATGTCAGCCCGGCAGCGTGAGCCTGTGAGTCCTGAGTCAGGGCAACAGAACCCATATCCGTAGATGCGTCTTCACAAGCATTTGGAGATCCGCCCCGACAGTGTAGAAAAACAAACAAACAAACGTAAAAATGTTTTAGGTGGTTCCGAGATCCAGCCGAGCTGTGCGTGTTTACAGCACGCCAGTCAAAACGCTAGAATTCTCAGGTGTGTGCACACTCAGAGGTAGCCTACGCATTTAGATTTCTCTAGAAATTCAGTTTTATGTAATCGCCTGCAGATTGTCGTTCACTGTCACTGTCAGAGGTATTTCTGCGTAGTTACGGATCTGCTTACCAAGATACAAATCTCAATACACCCCAAAGATAAATATAGATTCAGAGATTTGTTTTTAATTTATTTTTCACATTTAGAAATATGAGCTTTAATTCATGCGAGCAAAAATTTTAATGCATGACAACTTTGAATGAAGACTGAAGATTGCTGCCGTTTTAATAAGAGGCTTGTTGGTTTTCAGTTAGTTTCGATTGGAGTTTTCTGAGACACGTACAGCACCTGTCTGCCTACAATGTGAAACCTCCATCACCCAACGTCAGTAACGCATATGCGCTGACGTCATCAGTTGGTCATCCAAAGGGACTATTGCCGACAAGTTCCCCGTGTATATCACAACTACCTCATATTCAAGTCACAGACATAACTGTACATGTTGTTGGCGACATCTAGTGGCGATTCTTTATATAACATGATGTGAGCAGTTACACAACACCACTAATATTTTTGTACCACTGTTTTGTATACTGTATTTAATGACATATCAAATACAATAAAACACAGATCCACCGCAACATCAAACTTTTATAAATATGCATTCATTTAACTTAAATCACCAGGCGGTGACAATAAATAACACTGAAATAAATAGTCTCAGACAATTAAACACGCTTTGAGTTGTGAGAATAAAAACACACAAGTTGAAATACTAGAAAATCTAATTTAAATTACTCCTGAAGGACTGGCCTTGCACAGCCAGTGTGACAAGTGATCATTCTATACAGTATACAAGATTCCTGCAATCACCTTATTAAATGACACATCATGACGAAAGCTCATTTTCACTGTAAGGAAAACTGATGAACAAAATAGACATACAAGAGTTCACAGGAATTTCCCTCGGTAACACATTCACTTATGTATACTGTGATGAATATGGCTTGTAACAAAAGGCTTGAATTCCATAACAATAAATGACATAGACCTGCAAGAGGAGGAGCAGCGTAGTAAGCCTAAAAGGAAGGGAGGTAAGCAGACTTCTCTCTTAATAAACATAACTGCATCTTTTCCTGTTCACACATGGACCCCATATATAATCTATTACTCTACATTTGTAAGGCTTGATTTTCATAAAGAATGGCATTGCCTCTGTTACATTTATTTGTACTTGTTAACTGTGCTATATAAATATGCCTCCATAACTGCAAATTAAGCTCCCTAGTAAAATTCACTAAACATGCAAGACAGAGATATGTGGTGCTGTTTTGTGCAATTTTTAATCTGACTACAACATCTGGCAATGTTAAAATAAACAAACAAAAAAAACATCTGTCAGAACTCACTGGCTGCAATGACGCAAAACTGACCTAATTTTAAAATTAGAATGACTTTTCTCAATAAAAACAGCCAGCTATAGATCCTGGTGGAGGTCGCTGTGTGAGAGAGACTGATAATCCATGCCTGATTTAGCTTGATGCCTTTGAGCAACTACTCTCTGGTAGCGGGCTTGTTGCTGGTAATCTGGGTTCACATTTATCCAGCTGTTGGCCACCCACTTCACTCCACGTCTGACCGGACAGTCGCCGTGAAGGGAATACTCATCTAACTCACCCATCCAACCTGTGGAAGCCAGGAGAGAAGCAGCATTTAAGAAGAAAAAAAAAGTTTTAGCAGTTATTGGAGTCTTGAAAAATACCAACAACAAGTGTGACAAACATTTAGACGTACAACTGAATGATTTACAGATTTGATGTTTGCTGCACTGTGCTGACCATTTACCACAAGTTAAATATAATCAGGTTAAAAATAAAGTACACCCTCTTTCAATTCTAAGGTTTCACATATCAAGGCATTAAAAAGTCATTAAATGAAGTAAATACAACTTCAGGTGAAGAATGACACATTACACCGTGTCAGTATTTATTTGTTATTTTTAATAAATGTTAAGCCAAAATGAGATGCAGTGCACTTACTACTTCTATAGGAATTAAGATGATAAGTAGCAGCAGCAGCCCATTGCTGCTGAACAAATTCAGTTGATTAACCATTCATCAGCGAGTGTGAGAAACTCTATAAAAGCAGAAGTTTTGGCAGTTTGCTGGTCTGGAGAATTCAGCTGTGTGTTAACAAAATGCCAAAGAAGAAAGACATCAGCAATGACAGGAAGACTTATGAAGCCATTTCCAAGACAATTTAAAGTCCATCGTTCTGCAGTTAAAAAAATATTATTCACAAGTGGAAAACATTTGGAACGGATATCAAAGCAATTTCACCCTTAGGTCAGACTCCACAGTAATTAGAAAAACCGCAAAAATCCCCATGAACTACATCTCAGACTCTACAGACCTCAGCTACCATGTAAAATGCTAATGTTCATGACAGTACAATTAGAAAAAGATTGAATAAGTGTGGCTTGTTTGGAAGTGTTTCTTAAGAGAGATCCTCTATGTTATACAGTGGGGCAAAAAAGTATTTAGTCAGCCACCGATTGTGCAAGTTCCCCCACTTAAAATGATGACAGAGGTCAGTAATTTGCACCAGAGGTACACT